AATGAAGTCAGGCTTTCAAAGTCTTCCCTGGTTAGCGACGGGACTTATAAAAGTCATTTTTCTTCCTTCCTCTTCATCAGATTGGAGTAAATGTTTTAGGCATCACAGGATAACAGATTTGGGGTTTATGACTGGGCTTTGGGAAATTCAGCTACTGGGAAAGATGAATTTGGAGGGAATTTTTTTAAAGAAAATTCACTCTGTAAGTTTAATTCTAAGGTTTTAGCCTATTTTAATCCACCTAATTCTCAGGAAAAGTTTAAGTTATTAGTGTTCAAGAACCCAAGGTGTTTGTCTTCTCATCTTCTTTCTTTGGCATCGAAAACTTCCACTAATGCTTTCTGGAACTTAGAATAGTCCTGCTCAAAACTACCTTCTCAGTCTACATTTTGTTTCCATACCTGAGTTTCCCAAGTCTGGATACACCCATTTAAATTCTGGTTGGTTCTAGTCTTCTCCCAAAATGTAGTACATTACTAAAAGAAGACATTAAAAACAATATATTGTTAGTGGCAAAAAAATGTTGAAAGGATAATGCTTCAGTTCCAGGTACTGTTGTTGAAACATGGCAAGTAATAATCTTGTTAAAAGGGAACACGACAGTTTTCTTAGATTTCAGATCTTTGCAATACAGACATTACTCTTCAGCATTCTAAGAAGCTGTTTCTAAATTTGTTTTGTTCCTAAGTCCAAATGAGCATATGTATGTGATGCATTGTCAATTATCTAACAAAAAGAAATTCAGTAGAGGGATATTTACACTTTACAGTTCTACACTTAGGAAAGCATAACTGAATATACTGGTACAGATTAGTTGGAACTTGCTTCAGTAGCGGTAACTGTGAGAGATCTTGGAATCCAAGTGTACAATCACTTACATATGAGCCAGCAATGTGTGGCAGAAGCCAAAAAAAGGCCTTGCAATCCTAGGTTGCATTAATAGAGGGATAGAATAAAGATCACATGAAGTATTAGTACTGTTTTATAAAGTCTTATTGAAACACTGGGAATACTGCATCCAATTTTGGTGGTCACAATATAAAAAGGATGTTGAGACTCTGGAAAGAGTGCAGAGAAGAGCAACAAGGATGATTGGGAGGCGGGAGGCTAAAACGTACAAAGAACAGTTGCAGAATTGGGTATGTTTAGTGAAAAGAAGGACTAGGGGACACATGATAGCAGTGTTCCAATATTTATGGGACCATCTCAAAGAAGAGGTCAACCTATTTTCCAAAGCACCAGAGGGCAAGATGAAAAACAATGGATGGAAACTTACCAAGGGGAGAAGCAAGCTAGAACTAAGGAGAAATTTCCTGACAGAATAATTAACCACTGGAATGGCTTGCCTTCAGAAGTTGTGAATGCTCCAGCATGGGAGACTTGTAGAAGAGATTGGACAATTATTTATCTGAAAATAGTATAAGGTTTCCTGCCTGAGCAGGAAACGTGTGCCTTTGTACGTGTGCCTCGAACAAGTTTCTAATGTTTATTTTGTTGTTCGAGTAATTCTGAGAGTAAAAAATATCAGTTTAAGTTTGGCCTATTTGTCATTTGGCATGTAGATGTTCCAAAAGCATCATAGTATTAAAAAAATGTGTATCAAATAGGAAAAAATACCCCCCCCCCCGAAAATTCTATTAATTTAAATATCCATTATTTGCCAGAACCAAATTTATAACACCTTATGTTATAGAGCAGGGATCCCAAACCTATGGGCTGCAGACAGGCCCCAGCCCGCAGCCCGCCAGGAGCTGATCCAAGAAAGTGAATGAAACCCCATCTGTGCATGTGTGGGATGTAGGCAGCTCACGGAGCTATGCCTTCTGGTCTGTGGAAAAACTGCCCTCCACGGAACCAGCTCCTGGCCCCCAAAGTGTTGAGGGCTTCTGTTACAAAAAAGAATGGGAACATGTCTCTGCCCTTCAATAATTCCCAGTTTTTATAGTTATCCAAGCTGAGAATTTCTTACCACCCAAATTATAGAAGAAAATAGAGCTAATCTTACATCCTGAATGGTTTTCTGAACTTTCTTGCCCCCATCTCATCCTTCACCCAAATACTCCTAGCCAGTGATGCTACCATAGGAAGAAGACCAATACCTGCTGCTTTATTGGCTAATCTACTGGGTTTTTTTAAAAAAAAGATGAGATAGGGAGCTCAAAGTGCTATAAAATTCCTTATTTTGATTGAAGCTTGGGATAGAACTCTGGAACACAAGCCGAAAGGTCCTATGTACTGAGATAGGGACATTTTAAGCTCAGAATATTTTGCATGCTCCTATTGTACCCATAGGCCATGACTTGCCTTTCTTTTAGTAGTCTTGTTTGTGAGCCAAAACAAATAACCGCAGGCCTCTTGCCACTTCTAGTAGAACCCGAACACCCAATTGGCTCATCTTGGATGCCATGATTAAGGATTCATTGCAGGGTGATTCATTAGATGAGCAAATGGCTGGTTATGTGTATGATCCAGGTGAGTTGATGTCTCCCTCTTCTGGCAGGTAGCCAAGCAACTGCCGGTGGTCCGGATGTTGACACAGGGGAGATTCATCCTAAGGAACACAAATTGCTCCATCCAGCTAGAATCCAGGCATAAGTGATATGCTATAAAAAAGATAACAATTGTTCAGGTTATTGGCTGGTGAGCGAGTCTCATATAGGTAATCCTCCACTTACAACAGTTCGTTTAGTGACCAAAGTTACACTGGCACTGAAAAAAAACTGACTTGAACTTTTTCACACTTGGGACCGGTGCAGCCTCCCTGTGGTCATGTGATCAAAACTCAGATGATTGGCAACTGACCCACATTTATGAAGATTGCACTATCCTCTTTTGCTGCCTTCTGACCAGCAAAGTCAATGGGGAATCCAGATTCATTCAAACAACTGTTACTGACTTAAGAACTGCAGTGATTCATTTAACAACTCTAGCAAGAAAGGACGTAAAATGGGGCAAAATTCAATTAACAGAAATTTTGGGCTCAATTGTGATTGTAAGTTGAGGGCTACCTGTATTATCAGGTAGATAATGCAGGTTGGACATGCAAAAACATGCTTACGGCTGATGAGAATTATGCTATAGTGGAACCTAATTCTGATTCGTGATTTGAGGCTGCCATAGCTCTGCTAGTTTTAAATCTGACTTTCCCAGGACCTTTTTAGTTAAGTACCAAACGCAGAATATAGCTCAGCCTAGCAGTGTCTGAGGTTACGTGGATAACTGAAAGCTCAGGAGACACAGTTGTGTGTCTTTAACAACATGTGGATCGGAATACCCGGAGAAATCTAGTCTTCAGTTAGTCCATTGTTTCTCAATCTTGGCACCTTGAAGATGTGTGAACTTCAATTCTCAGAGCTGCCTGGAGAATTCTAGGAATTGAAGTTCAAATATCTTTAAGCTGCCAAGGTTGAGAAACACTAGGTTAGTCTTAATTTAACCTGATGCTGTGTAGCATCCTCTTCTCCACACTCAGTGAAAGCAGTTAAGAAAACTAGAGGCAGACTTCAGTCATTGTGATAGTCTTATAAGTATAGATATTGGTCTGTCTCATACTAAGATCTCCTTGCATGATTAAATGGAGTTAATTTAGGCACAGAGCTATTGCTGTCAAATTGCTCTTGACTTCATTTGACCTGTCTGCCTTTGACCACAAAGTCATAGTTGAGATTATCTGCTCAAATGATTATTCGTCACACCTTATTACTAGCCACCTCTTCCGAGACGTGAGGGCCAATACTTTAGAATTAAAGCCTACTGTGCCTGGGTGCTATATTCTCTTTACCTCTTTGTGCATTGAGGGAAAAAATATAAAACACATGTACTTTATCAGTGGAATAGGTGGTGGTAACGGAGTTAATGTTTGGGATGAAATCTATTTACAGCAGATTGTTTTTTCTGAATAAGTGATAAAGCAAGTGCACCATTTATGCTAAAAGTAATAGAAGATCTAGATAAACTAGGTCTCCAAGGGAGATGGGCAATTAAGAAATAAAAAATATAAATAATAAACTGGTGGAATGAGGTGGAGAACATGCAGACTATCGTCTTCCACCATATTGGATGATTGATCATCCTTGCTATCGTCTTCATGAAGTTTAATGCCTTAAATCATGTTACCTCTAACGGCTCCTTGATAAGGTATGCATTGTTCTACTTTAAAAGAAGTGCTTTGCAGCTAATTCATAGCATTGTATGTAGTAGGGACAGGAGGGTGATATTTGAAAAGGTATTGGGGATGTTCTCAGAATTTATTGCCTTTCCTCCTGCTGGTATCCCCATTGTAGTGGGTAGTAGCTAGGTAACACTCACTTTCAGCTTCAGACTTGAAGTTCTTGCCCATCCTTGGGGTGTATAGAATGCTGCATTCATATGTATGCGTGTTTTTGCATGGTTTGATGGGTTCTCTTGATTGCAGCACCACTTACTCTTGACTTAGATTTCAGAGGAGGCCATTCCTCCTGATGCTTATCCTCCTTGTTGGCCTGTTCACAGAAGGAGGTGGCCATACATTTGTGTCAGGGAAGAGCTTGTCCCCAGGACTGGGCCCCAGTTACACTCTGGTCTGTCATGGTGCCAGGTGATGCCTCTATTCTGCCTGGCATGCCCAGCCTGTTCTTATAATCAGGCTGTCTAGTTGCAGACACCCTTCCCCCCTCCTTGGAGGATTAGAAAATATGCCCAGCTTTTCCTCTGATTTCTGAAATTGCTACAGTTTTAGGCATTTTTACACTGTTTATACAGACATTAAAACTTTACTGATTACAGATAACAGTGTAAAAGTAAACAGAAGATTCAAATAATATATCAATATTATAATGCATAATCTTTGTGGACAGGTGTTCTCTTTTTAATCACAATTTGATTCTGAAGTTTTTCTGTGTTCCTGTAGAATGACAAAATATATGTATACATTCTTCACTGAAGTTTAGCTATATGGAGTAAGGAGTTAAAGATCCCCTCCCCAAAATTGGCTGATCATTTTTTTATTTTTTTATTTTTAGAACTATTTTCTACTTTTATCAACATGGAAAGCTCAGAGGCTAATAATAAAGGAAATATCAATCAGTCGGAAGCTCAGCGCCGGAGTCAGCTGGACCGGTTGGACCGAGAAGAAGCTTTCTATCACTTTGTAAATAATCTGAGTGAAGAAGATTACAGGCTGATGAGAGATAACAACTTACTAGGCACTCCTGGTATGCTGCTTTCTTAGCTTGCCATTCAGACAGTAAGAATCTTGCTGTTCTGCTCTTAATCCAGCAGTTATTTATTTTCCTGATAGTTGCCATAGAATCATAGATCTGGAAGGGACCTTGGAGGTCTTCTAGTCCAACCCCCTGCCAAAGGCTGGAGACCTGGCAAATGTCTCTCTAACCTTTTCTTGAAAACCTCCAGTGAGGAAGCCATCAGAACGCTGGGAAGCAAGTTGTTTCATTAATTAATTGTTCTCACTGTCAGGAAGCTTCTCCTTAGTTCCAGGTTGGGTCTCTTTAATGAGCTTCTACCCATTGCTTCGTGTACTGCCCTCAGGTGCTTTGGAGGATAAGGGATTACATGCATATTTTGCATGCAGGATCCCAGGTACCTACAATATTGATTTCACAAAGATTTTGATCTCTGCAATAAATACAGCTACAAAATTCAGATCTCTATTACTCTCTTAAAAACCACACGTCAAATCGTTCTTTTATTCTTTCCCACTTGGCAGAAGAAATTATTGTAATTGTTATTTAACAGATTAACAGTTGCAAGGAATCTTGTAGGTCATCTAGTCCAACCCCCCCACCCAAGCAGGAGACCCTACACCATTTCTGATAAATGACAGTCCAGTTTCTTCCTGAAAACCTCCAGTGACGAAGCTCCCCCATTTTAATTGTTGTACAATTGGTCACCACTCAATATTTGTTTGAGTTGGGTGGTGATACCGTGTTTCCCTGAAAATAAGACGGTCTTATTTTCTTTTGAAACACCCCCCCCCCCAAATGTTGCTTGGGCCTTATAAGGGAGGGGCTTATTGGTTTGGGGTTGCTCGGTGGCTGCTCTCTTGTGAGCAGGCGCCTGAAGAGCCAGGCACAGCCTCAGGGGCAAACGGCTGCGTTATGCTGTCACAGCAGCACAACACAGCAGCTATGAGTTGACCACGCTCACAAGCAGCCGCCTGGCACCCCCACCCTTTCTAGCCAGGCAGAGCGCCACTCACTGACCCAGTAATATCCCCAAGGCAGCAAGCAATGTGAGTGCCTTTGCTCTCCCCCTCCTCCCCTGGCTTGGCACCTTCGGGATATCGCTAGGTTGGTAAGTGGCGCTCTGCCTGGCTGGAGGGGGGGGGGTGTCCAGGGGGCTTATTGGGGGAGGACATATATTTTTGCCCACAGGAAAAATATGGCATGGCCTTATCAGGACATGTTGTAGTTTTGGGGGAAACACGGTAGAAATGGAAATAAATGAATAAAATAGTTTTTTTTTAAGCCATTCATTTCTCTTGAAGAAAAATTGCAATATGAAAGCAAAGTTTATAGAATGATTCTCTTGAAAGAAAATCCTCTAGAAATGCTCAGATGTTCACTCTCTTAGTTAACAGATGAAGTCTATTGATGGTTCAGTCTTTCCATGAGGACACATTCAGTAAAGAATGGCTTACTAATATAACAAATGAGTTTATTCCAAGAACAATGGTATCTGGAATTTCTTACCCAATAAACTTATATTTGACATTCCCACATAATAGGTAACTCTATAGTGGGCATCAATAGCAAGTGATCTGAATTTGACCATAGGGATAGCTTTATATTTTATAATGTTAAAGCTCTATTTTGTTTACTGGGCAAACGTTTCTTGATCTCTTCCCCTGTTTCCCCTCAGCAGCTGAGATAAGATCATTTCCCCCCTTTTTTTTGCTATTTTGATCTCTGTGTAGATGTAATTCAATATTTTTCATGCTCTTTAATACAGATCTCCCTTAAAAATATTTTGTTTATTTTATAAACGACCGTCCGTTCATTTCCTTGCATCTTAAGCATTGCAGTTCTGATTTCTTGCCCTTCTGCTCTTCATTGTACATGCAGTGTTGAGCAGAAGGTTTGCTCTGTTCTTTTCCCAGGCAGAAGTAGGCAAGCCAAATTTCTGCCTCCTAGAGTGCCAGCTCCCTCCGTCTCTCCATGTTCTTTTTCTTTTCTCTTTTCTCTTCTTGGGCCCTGTATAGTAACTTTTCAGAGTAGGATGGTTGGGAATATTGCCATATGTCCACCCATCTCTTTAAATGAAAATACAATCCCAATGTTAGAGACAAATTAATAGTAATCTTGGTAAACCCATCTCTGCTTTGGTTCCCCTAGTGTTGGCTGCACATGAGTGTGAATGACTTTCTCAGGAACACCTGCCCATTGTTTCCTCAGGTGAAATTACGGAAGAAGAGCTGCTAAGAAGGCTGCAGCAAATTAAGGAAGGCCCACCCCAGCAGCACACTGAAGACAGCAGAGGTACGCAGTGTTCTTCTAAGGTTCCTATGGTAATAGTCAGATTGCTCACCAAATGACTTACAAAAGGAGCTATTTGAATTTAGGCATTGTGCTCCTTTTGGGCCTCTGACTTCTGTTGTGGTGCAGTTTCTAGAGCTTCTGTATTCACCTCCTTTGAAATGGCTTCTACAGATTGTTCTCTGTACTTTTTCTCCTTTGTTCCTGGCTTAAGAGAGAGGGGGGAAGAGGTGTGCTGCGAATTTATTCAAAACAGGCCTGCTTTACCCGTGATAACTGCACGTGCCTATCTGATACCTTGCCTGAACCAGCGGGGCTCAAATCTCTCTGGCCAAGTGTGTGGCCTTGATGTATTAATATTGTAGAAGCAGTCTGGATGAAACTACATGCTGGGCTTATGCAGTATTGCATGGATAAACGATTGCCTGGCACATCATTGGTTACAAATGTTCCAATTTAAAGAATGGAATTCATTCAAAGTATCACAATCCATTATCTTATTTCCTGACCTTTATAAAACAGTCATCTTGACGGATTTGCTCAGGTGTTCAATACTGGACAAATAATTATTTGATGGTACAGTCCATTAAAGGTGGTGTAATTAATTTATCCCATAGATATTGCTGTGATTAATTTAGGAAGATATGGTGAGTTAAACAATTGTGGTGTCCAAAAGTTAGAAGAATAAATATTTGCTCTGTGGCCAAGGAACGTATTTATAAAATCATAACTTGTAAAAGGTTTGGAGAAAATATTTAGCCCAGAATTATACCAGCCACCTAACTATAGCAGTTACTTTTATTTGACAGGTTCCGAGTCCACAGAAGATGTGTCTAATGGCGATTCCATAATAGATTGGCTTAATTCAGTTCGGCAAACGGGGAATACGACACGAAGTGGGCAGAGAGGCAACCAGTCGTGGAGAGCAGTAAGCCGGACTAATCCAAACAGTGGAGATTTCAGATTTAGTTTGGAGATAAACGTCAACCGCAATAATGGGAACCCAAGTACAGAAACCGAGGGGGAGCCACCCGTAGAAACCCCCCCTGGGGAGGACCTAGAAAACAGCCAAAGTGACACTGAGACTTCGAGATCAGCCTCTCCCCCAGTTGTAAGGCCGAGCTCCTCTCCTCCCGTGGCCAGGCAGCCTGACTCAGAAATGAGTTATCCCGAAGAACTGAGTGAAGACATCTCGCTTCAGAGAGGCCAGAGAAGGTCAAGAAGCCGAAGCCCTGAACAACGAAGAACACGGGCAAGGACTGATAGAAGTAGATCCCCTCTTAATCCAGTGAGTGGATCTCCTCGCAGGATACATCACAATACATCTTCTCAAACCCCGGATCTTCCCTTGGTCGCTGAAGCAGAAGGAAGTTCTAGAACAAGGCAGCATATGATCATACGTCAACATGCCACAAATTCTGAGGCGCCTGCTGAAAATACTGTTCTCTTTTCGACCTCTGAAGCCAGGCCTGTCCCTCAGGCAGTGAGTTCTTCAGAAACGACTGGCAGTGCGGAGCCCCCAGCCCCTGGACAGAGACCCCCGACCATAGTGCTTGACCTGCAAGTGAGACGGGTTCGTCCGGGAGAATACAGGCAGAGAGACAGCATAGCCAACCGAACTCGATCCAGGTCCCAGACGCCAAACAATACAGTCACTTATGAAAGTGAGCGAGGGGGATTTAGACGTACCTTTTCACGCTCGGAAAGGGCGGGGGTGAGAACTTATGTTAGCACCATTAGGATTCCCATTCGCAGAATCCTGAACACAGGCCTGAGCGAGACCACCTCAGTTGCCATTCAAACCATGTTAAGACAAATCATGACTGGCTTTGGTGAGCTCAGTTACTTCATGTACAGCGATAGCGACGCCGATCCCGGGGGCTCGGCACCAGCCCCGAATGTGGAGACGGCAGAGCCCCAGCCCGGAGGGGGCAGTGGAAATGGCCACTTGATCCCTGAAGCTCCTGAGGCTGGATTGGGAGAGGCCTATGAAGGCAGCCCTGAAGGGGGCCCCACAACCGGCCCGAGACGGGAGGGGCGGAACACAAGGGGCTCCGTTACTTTTGAAGAAAGTGGTTCCTTGCCATTCCTTAGCTTGGCCCAGTTTTTCCTGCTCAATGAAGAAGACGATGACCAGCCCAGAGGACTCACCAAAGAACAAATTGACAACCTCGCCATGAGGAATTTTGGCGAGAGCGACGCTCTGAAAACCTGTAGTGTTTGTATCACCGAATACACCGAGGGGAATAAGCTTAGAAAACTACCTTGCTCCCACGAGTATCACGTGCACTGCATAGATCGCTGGCTATCTGAAAATTCCACTTGCCCAATTTGCCGCCGAGCCGTCCTGGCTTCGGCTAACCGGGAGAGTGTTGTCTAAGCCACCGCGGTATCCTTTCAGCTGATTACGTGATGAGGGAGCGATGGGCAAGACGCTGCTTGCAACGGCCACTTTTTGTGTGGTGGTTATAAATACAAAACAAAGAATAGTGTGATTTCCTCTTATGAAATGGAATTTCTTTTTTCTTTTTTTAAAAAAAGA